ACTTTCCACGTTGATCTGTCATGTGGAAAGATGCAGAGTCCGGCCATGGTGGGAGGAAAAACGCCCTGGAGGTTTTACAGGAACTGGGTGAAGAAAATCCCTGGTTGAGAGCATCATAGTTCAGATCTTAGTGGGCGATGCAGCAGGAGGGAGCGTGTGATGCTTGCTGGGCTGTGCTGCGAGGGAATGGAGGAGGAGGAGGCGGCTCGTAGGCAGGGGCGAAGAGCTGTCTCTCACCCATCCATAACTACCTCTTCCCTTGCAGGGTGGATTTGCACGATGCTATGAAATGACAGACCTCTCCAGCAACAAAACCTATGCCGTGAAGGTCATTCCTCACAGCCGGGTGGCTAAACCCCACCAGCGGGAGAAGGTGGGTGCCGTGGGGCTGGTGGGGTGCTGGGCTGGTGGGGCACAGCAGGGACCCTGTGCTCACCTGGGACTGCTGCTCCCTTTCAGATCACCAATGAGATCGAGCTGCACCGGGACTTGCACCACAAGCACATCGTCAAGTTCTCCCACTACTTTGAGGATGCGGAGAGCATCTACATCTTCCTGGAGCACTGCAGTAGGAAGGTGAGCGCTGGTGTGGCCTCCCTGCCAAAGGATCTCCTGAACAGAGCTGTGGCTGGCTGGAGCAGGCCTTATCTGAGGTGCTTTGTTAGCACCCTCCTTCTCCTGGGCTGCCTTGCTGCTGGCTCTGTCATACCCTCTGAGCTCAGCCATAACCTGTGTGGTTTCACACGGCACTGGGGACACTGCCGGTTGCCTGTCCTACTTGGGCTGCCTGCTCATGTTGGCAGCCCTTAGCTCCTAGTGGGGCCACCATAAATCCAGTGGTACCCCGGCTGTGCTGAGCAACCTCAACCTTGTGTGGGGAGTCTGCTGAGGTCATGGCTGTGGAAGAAGGATTATTTGTGGATGTGCAACTTCTGGAAGAACTGGCTTTGATCCTGCCTGCCCCTTGCCTAGTCAGCAGGGCTGCCTGTTCTCTCTGCCTGCCATCACCAAGCTGCCTTCTTTCCCTCTGCAGTCCCTGGCCCACATCTGGAAGGCCCGCCATACTCTGCTGGAACCCGAAGTGCGATATTACCTCAAACAGATCATCTCAGGCTTGAAATACCTTCACCTCAAGGGCATCCTGCACAGAGACCTCAAGCTCGGTGAGTGCTGTGGTCAGGGCTGGGTGCTGTGTGGGGACCGAGCTGCCTCAGAGGGACTTGTGGTGATGCATTGCCCTTGACTTGCAGGCAACTTCTTCATCAATGAAAACATGGAGCTGAAAGTGGGGGACTTTGGTCTAGCTGCTTGCCAGGATATCTCTGACCAGAAGAAAAAGTAAGTCTGAGGTTTCCCTATTCCAGAGCCCTCTGAGGTTTCACTCTTCCTCCTGTGACTTCCCGGGAGTGTGGAGGTGGTGTGGTCCCTCCTGGCCTGGGGAGGGGAAGCCTTAGGGCCCCTTCCCGGGGTGGGGTGGGAGGGTGATTCCTGCCCCAGCTGCAGGCAAGGCGAGGGGACTGGGGACTTTGTGGCTCCTTCAGGAGTGTCCTTGAAGCCGTCTGGGAGAACAATGTGCTGACTACTGCTATTGTGCCTGCCCGGCTGCCCTGCCGGCTGCGCGGGGCTGGGACACAAAGGCTCTGTTCCTCCCTGGCTCTAGGACAAGCTCTTCCCAACGGCTCCCCAGGAGCAGCTGCTCCTGAACCCTGGGGGGGGCGGGGGGTGAGTCTGTATGGGGCTTCTTGTAGATGGAGGGTGCTTTGGGCCACAAAGAGCAAAATCGGGGGGGAGGACAGGCTGCAAGCTAAATCCCAGGGCTTGGGTGGAGGAAGGCTGCTTGCAAGGGCATGCGGAGCATGCACTGACCTGGTGCTCTGCCCCACAGGACAATATGTGGGACCCCCAACTACCTCGCCCCAGAAGTGCTGTTGAGGCAAGGCCATAGGCCAGAGTCGGATGTGTGGTCTCTGGGCTGTGTCATGTAAGTCTGTGCTGCTGGGTGGGGAGGGGTCCAGGCAGCCTTGCCTGCGCAGGGTGGGGGAGAGCCAGGCTGTGGAGCAGCCCTGAGGAGGAAGTCCTCTTGCGCTTTGCCTCGTGGTTTTGCAGCGGTTGCTAAAAGGCAGGGGGAGGGGAGCGGGTGGCCAGATCCTGCTGAGCCCCGCTTTGGAGCGGGTGCTGCCAGCTGTCCTGGGATGCTGCTTGGGGGCTGCGCAAGCGGGAGCTGCAAAGGGCAGGCACTCTCCTGCTGCGCTCAACTCCAGTTCAAAGCAGGTTTGATCACCCTGTGAACCTGATAAACAACGGAAAATCTCAGTGGCTGGTGGCAGCTGCTGCTCTGTTTGTACAGGGAGCGATAGCTGTGCTGCTTCAGCACATCCAGCTCCTCGCCCGGCTGCTGCCCGCAAGCTTCCTGCTCTGCTTTCTGCCCCGGTGGCCATACAGGGGGTGGGAGCGGTGTCAGTGGGGTGGCCTTCTGCCAGCCCTCTCCCCTTCCCCAGGGCTCCTCGCTTTTTGCTCTAAACAGTTCTAGGAGGAAGCGTGGCCGGATGTGAGTGCGGCTGCCCAGGCTGGAAGTGGTGCTCCTGGCCAGGTGTGGCCGGCCAAATGCCAATAACTTCCTTGCTTTAAATGCTGCTGAGTCACAAGCCTGGTGGGGATGTGACGGTGGCCCATGTGTCTCCTCCCAGGTACACCCTGCTGTGTGGGAACCCTCCCTTTGAGACCTCCGACCTCAAGGAGACCTACAGGTGTATCAAGCAGGTGGAGTACACCCTCCCTGTCTTCCTCTCCCTGCCTGCCAAACACCTCATTGCTGGCATCCTCAGGCGCAACCCCCAGGACCGCCTCACCCTTGAGGAGATCTTGGACCATGAGTTCTTCAAGGTGAGTGGGTGGGGGTCTGGCCTTGACCCTTCTCCAGGTGGGATGAGGCTTTCTGGGCTGTGCAGGGTGCTGTCCTTGGAGCCCAAGTCCTTCAAAGGAAGCAGCCACTGTCCTGCCCAAATGCCAGCCAGGGGAACTGAGGTGTCTGGTGTGCTCCTGCTGCCTTGTCCCTATAGCATGGGCTGTTTCCTGTACTGATGCCAGTCATGGGGCCAAGGCTTGACAGAAACACAGACTGGCTGTCAGGAGGGCTGTGAGTGACTGCGGTCAGCCCAGGACAGCTGCTCTGCCTGGAGCACGTGGGCTATGGAAACCAAACCTCTGCCTTGACCTCTCTGCAGGGCTACACGCCTGAGAAGCTCCCTCCCAGCAGCTGCATGATGGCTCCAGAGCTGAGTCCTCCCAACCCAGCAAAGAGTCTGTTTGCTAAAGTCACCAAGACACTCTTTGGGAAGAAGAAACCCAAGGGTGAGTCCATGCACTTGCCCAGGAGCCTCTGGGTGACCCTTCCTCCAGGGAGAAGTGGGTCCCGTCTCCTGGAGAGACCTCCTGATGGGTCTCTGTAGACCCCCTGCCTGGGGCCAGCACAAGCTGGGCTTGCCCCTGCCCTTCTGGTGCTGGTGGCCTGGCATGGGTGTGCGCCTGGAGAGCGGATGCTGTGCTGCAACCCACGGGGACAGTTCCTCCTGGAAGGCCTGTGTTGCATGAGAACTGGGAAGTGAAAGTGGGAGGCAGCTGCCTGACCATCCTCACCACTGTGGGCATGGGAGCAGATGAGGGAGAGCTGAGCTACCGGGAGGGGTTGCCCAGATGTCTCCATCCCCTGTGCTCAGCAGTGTGCTCATCGCTTGCTCTCTCCTCAGCCAAGAAGGGCTCTTTGGAGGACAAGGATGACATCTCCAAGCTGGTCACTGGGCTGATGAAGACCTCCATCTGCCGGCAGATGAGCTATAAAACCATGGAAGGGAATGAGGTGAGAACATCCCTGAGCCTGTGCACGCCCCTCTTTGGGGGAGCAGGCAGGATGGTGATAAAGCCAGGTCTCTCTGCAGGCCACCCCGGTATCATGCCGCAGTGCCAGCTCTAGCCCCGTGGAGACAGTGGTGGAGGAGACATCTCACAAGTCTGTGTCCCCCTCCATCCGGGGGACGATGGCCAGCAGCTGTGAGGGTGAGCAATACCTGCTCAGGCTACCCCAAGCCTGCCCCGAGCTTCCTGTCCTGCCCTGGCTGATAGCGGGGCCAGCTGACTCAACCTGTCATCTTCTCTCCACAGCCTTTGAAGACTGCATCACTGCCTCTGCCATCATCGAGTCGGCTGTCCGGCTCCTGCGGACCTGCCTCTCCTCCATGCCACCAGGTAAACCAGTCAGACTGCTCTAGGATGGAATAGGGTGCTGTGCATCCCCTTCCCCATGGGATGAAGGCACGGCTGCTATTTGGGGTACCTTAAATGCTGCCAGAGCCTGGTGTGGGGGGGTCTGCTCCCCCCTGGGGAGGTGAGGTGGGCAGGGGCTGGCTGCTGGCTCTGCTCACCCCCTCTCCTCTCCACCAGCGGAGAAAAACCCGGCTTCCCTGGCCCGCCATGAGCACTTTGTCTGGGTGAGCAAGTGGGTGGATTACTCCAACAAGTACGGCTTTGGCTACCAGCTCTCCAACCGCAGCATCGGGGTCCTCTTCAACAACGGCACGCACATGACACTTTCCCCCAACCACAGGTAAGTGGTGGGGAAGTGGCTGGTGTCTCTGGGGAAGCCCCTTGGGTTGGAAGGGGCCAGGGGAGGCTGTGCCAGGGGTGGGTTTGGTGCTGGGTGGCCCTGAAGCTCATGGTCTGCTCCCTCCCAGGACTGTGCATTACAACCCGACCAACAGCAAACACCTTGTGTTCTCTGTGGCTGCCATCCCTGAGCAGCTCCAGGGACAGATGAGTGTCTTGCGCTACTTTGCATCCTACATGGAGCAGCATCTCATGAAGGTGGGTGCTGGGGCCCTGGGCGGGGATCATGGGTAGGCTGGATGTTGGGTCATGGCTTGACCACACCGCTTGGGGTTGTGGGGCTCCCTGCTCACAGGCTGTGGCGAGGTGGACACCCAGAGAGTTGTGTCCTAGGAGTGGGGACCCCACTGGGGGTGTGTGCAGGTTTCGCTGTGTGTAGGCTGGTGGCAGTGCTCCCATGTATGGGACCAGTGGCTTATGCAGACCCTTCTTTCCAAGGGAGGTGACTTGCCCAGCATAGATGACCTCGGGCAGCCGGCCCTGCTCCTCCTGCAGTGGGTGAAGACTGACCAAGCCTTGCTCATGCTCTTCAGCAGTGGCACCCTCCAGGTATATGTGGGGCACAGTGGAGATGCCCAGACCCCTGTGGGGAGGAGGCTAGGTGGGGATTCCTGGCCTGTGTTAGATTTTGTCTGCCACAGCCCAAATGCAAGGTCCAGCTGTGAAAACAGCTGTGGGTGCAGGATGCTGCTCCAGTGCCTGGAACTGCTGGTCACAGCTTGTCCAGCCCATAGGGGAGATGACGCTTCAGTCAGCCACTTCCATCTGCCCCGGTGCTGGGGCTGGCGTGTTCCTGCTGTGGGGCATGGAGCAGGGATGCTCCCGGGCAGGTCAGGGAGGAGGAACGGGTTGAGGCAGGAAGTGTGGCTCCATCCTGGCTCCTGTGACATGCTGTGGGAAGTGTGGGTTAAACCAAGCCCAACCTGTCTCCTAGGTGAACTTCTACAATGACCACACCAAGGTGATCATTAGCAAGCCTGACCACTCCTGCCTTGTCACCTACATCAACCGGGAGCGCAACTCCTACACCTACAAGCTGTGCAGCATCCAGGAGCTGGGCTGCTCTCCTGAGCTCCACCACCGCCTCAGATACATCCTCAAGCTCCTCCAAGAACGGGCTGAGGCCTAGCGTGGGACCTTGGGGGACCCTCTCTGGATGTAGAGGTCTCTCCCTGCCCTCCCACGGGATGGGAGGTATGTTGTAGTGCTGGCTGCCCACCTGGGCACCCTGTATCCTGGTGCTCAGCTGGACTCTGGACTAAGACTTGTGGATGTGGTTACAGCAGCAGGTCTGGACATTCTTGCTGCTCCCTGGCTCTGGGCAATTGCTGTCTTCCTGCTGGCAGCTCCTGCTCTTGTTGTGCTGGTCTTGGAGTGGTCTGGGGTGGCACAGGGAGGTGGTGGGTGAGTGCCCTGCAGCCAGGTTTGGGTCTGGCTGTGCTTCGTTTGTGGCCTGGTGCTCCAGCCTGCCCTGGCTGGCAGCTGCCTGCAGTGAGGGCTTGGGCTGTCCTGCCCAAGGTGGTGCACCGGTTGCACAGACCCTCTGCATGGCCTGGAGAGGACTGGCACAGCCTTGACCTCAAGGCTTGGCTGCTGTGGGGTAGGGAAAACACCTTCCTGGGGTGGACAGGGGTGAAGGGCGCTGCCTGCCCTGCCAGGGACTGTGTGGGCTGGTATGTGCCACTCCACAACTGCTACACTAAGGAGGGGGCTGTGCTGGGCTCCACTGTGCCCTGTCTGCTCCCAAATTGTGAATTGTCTAGTATAACTTGAGGTTTGATAAAGGGTAGGGGGATGGGATCTGAGGGCTTGCCTGGAGAAGCCCTTGTCTCGCTGGGACCTGGGGAGGTTTCTTGTTTCAGGGCAGTCTCTGCCATGTGTGACTATTTATGTATCTTATTTATATGGAATTATTTATTTTCCTGTTGGTCTGTCCATGTGCAGCTCCCTCATCCCTGACTCACCTCAATAAAAATTTATTTGTGTAAGGGCAAACTGTGTCTACCTTGCTTGGAGCTGGGGCCTTGGTCACGAAAGGGCTTCTCCTTCATCCTTGCCCCAGGGCTGCTTCTGCCCTCCAGGCAGGACCCCTCTTGACACTGGCTGTTGCTGGGTGACAAGGTCAGGGAGGCAGGATGGGGGTGAGGAGCCCATGTTGTACCTCCACTGCCCTTCCCCGGGCTGGCAGGAAGGGCAGAGTTAGCTCTTGCTGATGCCTGTGGAGCCCTAGACCTGCCTCAGCTTCTTGCTGATGCCAAACTCTTATTCTCAACTGTCTCTTCCCTTGGACCAAACCCAGTACTTCTCATGCTTCTGCTGAGCTGGAGAAGGCAGGAGCTGTGGCCCAGGGGGTGGGTTGCCTGGGTCCTTGCACTATGATATCTGGTGTGATGGGATATCAGCTGGGAATGAAGCCAGGAAAGGGGAGGGTGGCTCATCTACTCCATAAGCTTGCTTTGAAGGTGATCTGTCACCACCTTCCCCAATGCTGGTGTAATCAATCTGCCTGGGAACAGCTTGCGCTGTGGGAAGCAGGCTGGGCTGCTCCCTGTAGCATAGCCTTGGGCAGCTGCCTGCTCCAGGGTGATGCAGCCTTTTAGGTTGTATTTGCTGCAGTTTGGGTTTTTTTGCAAACCATGGTAGTGGAAGCTACACTATGGGTATGAGCCCAGGCTGAGGGCTGCAGTGAGCATCAAGGCACTGAGGTGCATCCATGCCTTGCTCCCTGCATGTGCCATGGCCAAAGCCACTGAGTATGAGCCACAGCTGGAGCAAACCTCTTTATTTCTGCTGTTCTCCCCTTGCAACCCTACAAGGCTGGGTGGAGGGAGAGGCGTGTGCTACTCGAAGTAGACCCCATGCACTGTGGCCACAGCAAAGAGGGAGGTGTTGGAGAAGGTGGCAGAGGCGAAGCTGTCGCTCTCAGGGTCCCACAGTGCCCGGCTGGCCACCAGCAGGCTCTGCTGGCCCTGCTGGCCCAGCAGCACATGGCAGACCAGCTTGTAGCGGGGCGGCACCACCTCCTTCGCCTGGCTCCGCAGCAGCTCGGCCAGGCTCTGGGCTAGTGGAGCACTGCCCTGAGGGCTGTAGACCATGGTCCCCAGGGCGCTGGCCAGGGCCCCCTCCAGCACCTGCTGTACCTGCCCTGCATCAAACTTGCAGCCTTCATCTGGCTGCATCCTGTAAGTGTTTTCGAGGCGGGTCTTGAGGATGGGCTGGAAAAGGGGGAGCCCGGAGAAGCTCACGCGGCTGTGGAGCATCCAGGGGCCGATGGAGGGGCGCCTACCCCCTGGGGCTGCCCCAAGCGAGCTGCGGCGGCTGGCCAGGGGTGCCAGGTGGGTGCTGAGGATGGAGCTGCGGCGGGAGGGCAGGAGCAGCGGTTTGCCTTCCTCAGTGCCGCGTGCCGGGGCTGGGGG